TATATATATATATATATATATATATATATATATATATATATAAGAACACAATGGTCGTTGGACTTGGATAGCCGTGACGGCCCTGTCAGCTGTCGGAGGTTGAATATTAGATGGATGCATCCACGACAGGCGCAAAACCCAGCCTGCTCCTTACGCGTATTATACAATCTACGATGAATGACGGACGCTATGGCACTCAGGCTTATGCCTGTGATTCGCGCGGACCCTTTTTACAAACGATAACTACAGTCTATATCCGCCCTCCACTCGACGAGGGGATCTGCTCAGTGTGCCAGACTTCAGAGAACAGGGTAACCAGTTCCCTGGCAAGCTTCATTCTACCATCTTTAAATAGAGCCGGGAGGATGCCGTCAGAGCCAAGTGCTGACTTCCCAAGGCTTGTATCGCCTTGTGGATTTTCGCCTCAGAATATGGGTCTGTTAACAGAGACCATCGGACTGAATGAGAAGCTGAAGCTGGTGGCCAGCCAAACTATGACTCAAAGTGTCCCATCCAGTGTGAAAGCCATCGTTGTTGATTATGAATGGTCGCGCCGTACGTTTAGCAGATCGTTGCGCTCACACCTAGGGTTTTCCCCGGTGGCCCGGATGAGATGGAACAGCATACAGGAATTTCTCATGGGGGCAGCAAGTTCCATTTCTAATGCAGGTTGAGTCCACCAGATTTCGCCGTCTCTGCGCAGGCTTGCGTTGAGGTTACGTCTCGTGTCGTGTTTCATTCTGCTTTCTACCGGACGGGACTGACCGGGGTGCATCGAGAAGACGTAGACTCCGCAGAAAACCACTTTCACGGCGCGACGTGTCAGACCACAACTAAGCCAACAGAATGCATAGCATTCTTGAAGTCAAGGATGATGGAAACGACTGTTTTTATCTTTATTTCTTTAGTACACACCTAAATTTAATGAACAGCAGAGGAAGTGAACCCCATAGTCACGAGGACCTGCTGTTCAGTGATGGAAACCGGCAAACTAAGCCCCGGGACTTGGAGTAGCGAACCACGTAAGGCCCCGATAGATTACCTAAACGGCATTGGAAAGAATGAAGTGAGCGCGCCGCAGAAAGATCATTCATTGTTTACCAAATAATTATCTGTCAAAGTTGCTGTTGCTGTTCGCTTACCATATCACATAGTCTGTCTATGTAGGGATGAAATACGCGTAGAACATTAGGAATATATAGGTGGAAATGTACAGGCTTACATTTTCAGTACTGGAGGCACCTGTTGATACCGCGTCCGCCAGTCCACTCCTGGTGGTCGATGAGTCCGCCGAACCAGCAAGCGTTCGCGAAGCATAGATTTCAGCAGGGCGGCTATAAATTCGGCGTCGTTTACGGCGATCGCTAAGAAATCCGCAGTCTAAATTAAAACAGAATGTTAAGAGTGGTTGTATGAAAATGAACACTACATAAAACCATATGATCTGGGATCACAATTCATTTTTGTGTGCACTAACAAAGTCAGCTCCCTTATGAGGCATTTTGATTCACGACTGCTCTTGACACGTCCATAGCCGATTTATAATGGGTAGAAGACTCTGGATGAAATGCTCCGGAATCATAAAAACGGTTAAATACGCTATGAATCGCCACTAATCTTGTTCTAGGAAGAAATTGCATCAGCTCCTTGAATGAGATTCACATGGCGTGACGGTTTAGGTACTTACGATGAGTTTCAACAACTTGTGAGCCACCTCCGCTTCATTCAATTGTGGCTCTTCATGGGCTATAATATAGACCAATGGTATGCCTCATTAAGTATTACAGCTCGCCAGGTAAAACAATTTGACTGTTTGTGCGGGGGTTCACAGGTACGGCGAAGATCGAGCTTTGCGAACCGCGTTGACATCAGACAGATGTCCATTTTCGTCGTTGCTTTTCAACAACGGCTTCTACTGGACCCTAGGACATACATTTAGCAGCTACCGTGGTGTGCAGTTGAATCAGAAAACTGTCGCTGTCAGGGGATGATATGGCATGAAGTTTGTATTGACCTTCCTTTTATCTTCCTCAAAATAGACCTTTTTAATCCTCGGTACGAATTTCACCTTGTTTGACGCATACGGTGTTTTCGTACCATTGAATTTCACCTCA